TATTTTCATTTTTAACAATTTTTCAATGAATTTCCTTGTGATCTATTGTTTTATTGTAAAGACTAGTGCTCTTTTTTTTTTTAAACACACGCCTCTTTTACCATGCTGTTTCCTGCCTTAGCGGGTTATGAAGATTTGATCTCATTGAGGAGAGGTGTTTTTGAATTTTACTGTGATAAATAACCATTTTCGACGACATTACCCTCTTTTGTATCAATTATTTTTTTCCTTGTCGGGCGCCCCTCTTTCGGCGTCCCCTTGAAAGCTATCATCGGGCTGAGACTGAGAGGGAATTCCACTCGAAGCATCAATCGCGCTCATGTTGGGTATCGAATCCTGGTCCCGGGGCCACCATACGCTTTAGCGCGCTCCGCTGATGCCACTGCTTGCCATAGGTACGCACAGCCCCCGACGAGGGGTTCCTCACTTCGTCCAATCAGTATACGGTCTAAAAACTAATAACAATCACATTACCAGTCATTTTCCAATCACTCCAATCATTTCCACAAATCAATCAAATTTTCTCAAAAGCAAAGTATGTTTACTGTCATTTTCCTGTGAATGTCCTTGGATTTCGAATTGTTTCTACCCTCACAGTAGGTAACAACACGCTAAAACATAATTTCAATGTACAATGTCCAAGAAGGCCACATAACTCAAAAATTTGTGAAAGGGATGGTGTTTTCAGCATTTTCAGTGTGCATACACTATTTTTGACACAATGTCTTCAGTTTGCACCCCACATAACCCCAAAAATTGAATTTTAGGAATTTCTGTCCGTTTTCTCCAGTGACTGACAATTCCTATTCCAATCACTTTCTATTCAAATTCCAATCAGTCCAATCAATTTCCAATCAATCTCCAATCATTTGCAACGTTCGGCGATACTTTCACCGTCCAGGGGTCCCCAGCGCTCCACAGGCTGGCGGCGGCGGGGTGCGCGAGTAGCGAGCTCGCGCCCTGCACCTCTGACCTCTGGAGTGGTTCGAGTACCGGTTTCGGGAAACAATTTTTCCCGAGACAAACGTCGAGTCGGACCCAAGAGTGTTGGACATGGGTGTTCTATCCGCAGCTTCCACGTGGGCCAGTGGTTACCGAACCCAGGTCTGGGCCCAAGAGTCGTGGGTTCGAGACAACCCCGGGAGACGGGCTGTAGCGACGCATTTTGAGGCTGTTTGAAGGACGGACACGTGGTTGGAATGAATACATTTTCCGCTTTCTGTTCAAAATGCAGGGTTGCCTTTGGTAAAAAAAGGGAGAGAGAGAGAGGGTGCATATGCTCGGAATGGAGTAAATCAAAAGCATCAAGTTGGTGGGTCTGGAATCAAGAAGAAGAAAGTTCCGAAGAAAAGAACGACGACCATGTGTTCCACCGTGTTCTGCTTCGTTCTCGTGAGTCGTAAGTTGCTCAGTTGCCCGGTGTCAGCCCTACAGATCGGTGTTCTCTGCTCCCGTCTGCGCATCATGGCCGCCAATGACTCCAAACATGTAAGTACCAAACAAATTAGGGGGGACTCACTTGGGTCCGTAGCATACGGGTTATTTCGTGGTATTTCTCCTGCCATTTCAGTTATTTCACGGTTATTTCGGATTATTTCGGATAATTTCGCAGTATTTCGGGGGTAGTTCGCGACTATGTTTCACCAACTATTTCGGGTCTATTTCGCATTTATTTCTGCAGCACGGGTTCCAGCCAACTAGTAAACGTGGCTGGTCCTCTAACTGTTCTGCTTTCGCCACAGTGGTCATGAAGATATGGGGCTGTCTCAGGCGAACTGAAAGGGGGGGGGGGGTGTACCCACACTATAAGACAGGGGCCCGGCTAACTGTTTGCGTCGGGCCACTATGCGCTTTCGTACGCTGTCTGTGATCGCTACTCGGAAGCGTGTGTGAGCTGCTGCCTCGAGCTGGACAACCCCGCCGCGCCGGCGCGGCCGGCGCTCGGCGTGAGAGTTGATTTTCACAGCCACCGCCCCTACCCTTACCCTGCCTAACAATACAGCCCGGGATGGTGGATGGGCCCCTTCCCTGCCCGACAATACTGGGCCACCAGTTAAACTTTCTCTTCTTCCATGTACCTTTATTTTGCACAAATGCCTTTCATTCTGGTGTTAATTTATTTTAAATTTTATTTTCAGCCTTCGGATGGGGTTGATATTGAGAATATCTCGGAAGGAGAGGTAAATGTCTTACTTTGATACTTACATACATATTAAAGTGCAAGTAAAGTGTTGCAGTTGGTTGGTATTTTTTTTCTGCTCGCTGCATTCTAATATTAATTTCTGTTATCCAGGAGGATGTTGTGTTAGAACTCATTAAGATGAAAGAACAGGATGCTAAACTTCTTCATAAATACTGCAAAGAAAATAGAAGCTTGAAGAAAGAGTTGGAGAGAAGCAGGGAGGTTAACGAAGACTGGAAAGTAAAGTTTGAAGAAGAGAAGAGGCGGAGAGAGGTGGCAGAGAGGAAGTGTGTAGAGGCGGCCAGGGCTCTAGAAAGTTTAGGGAAGAAAGCAAGACAGAAAGCAGAAGCAAGGGAGACAGAAATGCAGTAGGATCAGACAAGAAAAACATACTATAGGCTAAGGAGATGGAGGAAACAATCAGAAAAGTAGAGGCGGAAAGAGAGAGGCAGAAGGATGAGGAAAAGGCATTGAAGAGGGAAAGAGACGGATTGAAAAGGAAAAGAGATGAACTGAAAAGGAAAAGAGATGGATTGAAGGAAGACTTAGAAAAAGCAAATGAAGAAATCAAGAGCCTCAATGAAGAAAGAGAAGTTTTTGAAAGGGGTCTGGCAGTAGCGAGAAAGGGGTTAATGATTACAAATAATTCACCTAACAAAAAAAAATCCAATGAGAAGACTGAGACCCTTCAAATACCATAAGTAACAAAGTAACAGTTTTATTTATTTATTTATCTATATATTATTTATCTGTATATCTTCGATATTTTTAGAAGTGTATATCAAAACGACGTTTCATGTTCAGGCCATAATTAGAATTACTACTTTTTCTCCTGATGTCATCTCGATGCCTAATATTGTGATGTTGCACATTTAGGTTTTTATTAAATGTTGTATTGCAGGTTATGACAGATAGTGGCCTGAGCTTGGTGGATTACGTCTTCCAATTTCATTATTCCAGTTTCTTTAAAAAATTTCTCCAAACTTGTCATTTTGTTGTAGCCAAAAAGAGATTTAATCACGCGTTTTTGTAGTTTTTGTAATTTAGAACACCATGTTAAAGAATCTCAAATAAATTTCTAATGTCACAATTGTTTGACCAAGTTCAAATATTAATTTACACTTAGATATCTTCTCTAAGACCAGTGTCTAAGAGCATAGAGCTCTAAATTATTTTCATTTTAAACTATTTTTTAAGATGAATTTCCTTGTGATTCTATTGTTTTATCGTGAAGACCAGTGCTCATTTTTTAAACAAACGGCTCTTTTACCATGCTGTTACCTGCCTTAGGGATATGAAAATTTGATCTCATTGATAAGAGGTGTTTTTGAATTTTGCTCTGATAAATTACCTTTTTTGACATTACCCTTTTTTGTATCAATTATTTTTTCCTTGTCGGGCGCCCCCCTTTCGGCGTCCCCTTGAAAGCCATCATCGGGCTGAGAGGGAATTCCACTCGAAGCATCGATCGCGGTCGGGCCCGGGAGGCTGCCGTCTATTCTGTGCTCTTGTGGGCTGCAGCAGAGGCCGGGGAGTGGCCCACACAGTGGCCCTCGCTCAGGCGCGGCGGCAGCATGGTCGCGCTCGCGCTCGTCGGGCTGCTCCTGCACGCCGTGCCTCACGCTGCGCCTCACGCCGCGCCGCACACGGCCCCCGGGGCGCTCGAGCACGCCGTGTGGCAGCACGAGCAGCGCCTGGACCGGGACGGCGTGGTCGTGCTGCGCTGGAACTCGACGGGCCTCGGCCGGCGCGCGCCCACCGCGGACAGCGCGGTGCTCGTCCTGGAGGTGGCGGCGCGCACCAGGGGCTACGTCGGCCTCGGCCTGTCGCCCTACACCGGCACCATGGCGGGCGCCGACCTGGTCCTCGCCTGGGTCGACGACGCGGGCGTGCCGCACGCGCGGGTGAGGCGGTAGGGCACGAGCCCTAAACTCTCTTGGGTAGGCCAGTCGCCAGCTCGCCAGCCCCGGTCTTGGCGGGTAGGGCGCTTCATGCAGATCGCGGCACGACGTGAACGGTCAATATGGCGGCGGCGCGCGAGTCGTCGCGGCTCATGGAGCTTTGCGACTGACGGCGCGGGCACGTGATCAAGTGGCCTGCTCCTGCAGCCTGGCGGGCCGGCGGGGTGTGCAGGCCAGGGGCGCCGCGAAGGGGAAGTGCCCGTCAGGCGCGGAAAAGCCAATAAATCAACGAATACGAGCTCATGATTAAACCATCCATGCGCGGCGGCCGCTCTCCGCCGATATCACCCGCGCCTCTCCGACTGCTCGCCAGTTCGTGTGCGATGCTTAAATGTTTATTACAGCAGGGTAGCAGGACTAGCGTCATCGCGGCACGGGCTGCAGTCCTAGTGGCCTTCGGTCGCGCTGAAGACGGCCGACCGGTCGTGCAGGCGCTCGGCGGCGAGCTCGGCGGCGTCAAGGGATCATGCATGCCTTTTACCCCCTTCCAGCTCGAGCATGTCCTATCTGTGCTCACCCCCGTTCGCTCTTTGGGCGCAGGATTACTGGGCGGACCAGAACGGCTCGCCGACCCTGGACAAGAACCAGGACTGGCGGGTGGTCGCCGCCGAGGAGAACGACACACACACGGTGGTGCGGCTCGCACGTCCGCTGCACACTCAGCACGTCATGGACGTTCAGATTCAGGTATCGTTGCCCCAGTGCGAAACGGTATGTTAAATCAAAATCGAAATGACGTCAAAAATACAAAATCGACGTCGTTACGTTATCTTATCGGCATCGTTTCCACTGTTTCGCACTGGCCCATAGCAAAATCAGCAAAACTGCATCATAACTGAATTAGGGATCAGGGATCATCCAGAAAGAACGTCTGTCACTCGGCGTTTCCAATAAGTTCAGCCTCTGCAAGGTCTCATAGCGCCTGGTAGGTAGGCAATATCTTGCCTGCAGTGCATGCGGGTACTGCGGGTTGGCCTACCCTGAGCCTTGCAGGCGCCAGGCCCCCGGCACTTGCCGAAATGCATCTGAGAGAAACGGACGTACTGTCTGGACGAGGACGATCCCTTGCATGTCCCATCCAAAATGCGCCCAAGGCGCCTAAAAGGCGCATTTTGGATGGGAGATACAATGGGTGCAGTTCTGCTGCCTGGTCATGTTCCGGCGTGCTCCGCAGCCGGGGCCCGTCCGGGTCATCTTCTCGTGGAGCGGCGCCGACCCCGGGCGCGCCCCGCACTACCACGGCAAGGAGCAGCGCGGCGTGACCGAGGTGTGCCTGCTGGCCAGCGCAGGGGCCGCCCCCCGGACGGAGGTCTGGGTGTGGCTGCTGGTCCTCACGACTACCATGGGACTTCCCTTCGCCACCAATGTCCCCTAGATCTAAGGTCGTTGCGTTATTTATTTATTTGTAAACACTGACAAAGAAGTTTTCTGTTGATAAGTAAATGTTCCATTAAAACACGGACTAGAATTTTTTGGCTTTGGGCCAACAATAATTTTTCTCATTATGATTCTTATGAAAATATGCTTTCTTCAAGAACACGCTGCTTCAGTCAAGAGTATTTTTGTTCTTTGAATCAGGAAAACTTTCTCCCTCAAACATATCTTTTTCTTCATGCATGAAAAAATGTTCTTGGCCCGAAGCAAAAATTTTCTTGTACGTTTTTGTAAGAATTTCTTTTTCTTGCCCACGGTAAACTTTTTTGTGAGCGTACCACTAGATGATAATGTAATTCTGTGGCACTTCTTTAATTTATATACTACTTTATTTTGAGAGAGAAATAGAGACTCAAATGATTGTATGGAAGAGGGATACGCCACTATCAAGTCCAATACGAGGTATTTTAAAAACGCAAAATAGCTATATATTTATTTGAGGCTAAGTTCCTTGAAATATGACAAATGTAATTTTGTAATAAATTGAAGGATTTGAGTTTCACTCCATGTTGAAACAGGAGAACAGATGGCAATATTTTCCTTTGTAAACAGGGTACTAAGCATTTCTTGCAGAGCTGAAGAGCTATACTTGCAACCAGCAATTAACAGGCTAGTATCTGCATGTAGAGCAGATAGGGATGACAATTTTACATTTAATTCATTTGGTTCTCCTAAAAGGTGTACTGGGTACCTGTTAATAAGAAAAAGAGGTAGAGATGAGAAAGATTTAAAATCCTAGAATTTTACCTAGATGCAAATTAGTCTACTTTTAGCTTAAGATTTTACCTTAGAGCAATATTGTCAACAAAATTTTCAATTTGAACTTCCTTTTCCCTTGTAATAATAATAGTTGGCACATTATCTTTCCTCTGCAATTTTTTGTGTACAGCATGTACAAGGTGCAAAGTGACGATACCACTAAGACTGGCATCAATACACAAGATTGTTTCTTCTGGTCTGTAAAATACTTATTTTCATTTTACAAAGACTATCTGCATTTGAAAGAAAATTATAAGATTTACCTTGTTTCTGAGTAGACCCGCATTAAGTCTTGTAGGGAAGAAGTTATATGACTCATTCCTGCCTCAGCACCCAAGGCTTGTACTTTTTCATATGATGATTGTAATGGTTCAGAGTCAAAATTGACAAGGTAATCTGTTATTATAGATGATCGTAAATACCATAGTGTTAATACACCACAGACATTTTGGGAAATGTAACAACATTTGCTACTGCTATTTCAACTTCTTGGGCCTTACTTACTTTGTGGAAGCAGCTCCTTTAATCTTTTCACAGCCTTTGCAAGCAAATCAGAATCTTTCGCCTCCACAGTAACTTTAATGCGATAGTAGCTTAATAAAGATAAAATTACACATAAGCCATGAGTTATTCAAAGAATACTTTAGTAATATATGTAAATATGTGTTACAACACAAACCTATTGTCATGCACAGGATATGATCCAATCGTCACTAACGGAAACTCTGCAACCACCTTTGAGAGATGATCAGCTATTGAAACCTCGGTGGCATCAATATACAAATCCCCCTTGTAAAATTTTGATCCTGATCCTCCAAATAAATCCTGTTGATAAGTGATTATTAATCTTTGTTCAGCCTGCATACATTATAATAAATGTATTAGATGACAATCTAGATGAAAAGTTACCTCGCAGAGAATAGTGAATGATCTCTCTAAAAGAGGAGGAACCCCTGGGAAGATATAAACATTTTGAACAGATACATTGGGGTACTTTGACTTGCAGTTTTGGATAGGATCAAAACCAAATTTCAGCTTTGCTGATCTTGGAACCTGTCAAAAAGTTTCAAGGAAATTTAATAATCAAAAATTAAAACACTAAACATTGGAAGGCTAACAGAAAACTTCTAATATTTTTAACTCAAAAATTTCTTTCACACACTTAAGTTTATGATTTGGAATTTTCAACTACAGAGTGTTTCATTTTTTAGAATCCTCCTGTAAATTTGGAATACATCGTGCGCTGTATTTATTTAATGGATTGCAAACACTTACACATGCCAGCTTCATAGCGGGTGAACTAAGATCAGTGGTTTTGTAGAAGTCAGAACAGATTTTTACAAGTTCTGGATGAGGAAAAGTACTTTCTTCAAAAGCTTTAGCAACACCTAAGAGGAGAAAACTTTTAAAAACCAATCTAACTATGAATGACAGTACCCGATTCATAAGGATATCTACAACTTACCTTCAAATGTGACGTCGTCATGAGTTGGCCCGATACCACCTGATGTTATAACATATGTGTAGAGGTGTGAGAACTTGCGAACCTCATTGCTGATTTCATTGATATCATCACCAATAACAGAAACCTGGTTTGAATCGGATCAAACAAACAAAAGAACACAGAATATTAATGATAAAAAGATGAAATGCCCAAAATGTCAGACACATCTCCTCCTATTTTGTATAGTGCAACAGATTCAGCCACTCCGGTAAAACAAATAATTGGAGATCCATAATACAGTTTTACGCACGTGGAAAATTGTAGTATTAATTGATGAAATAAACATACAAAGATCTGGTTATAGGATGCGCATACCTTCATTACCCGCACGCCAATGTTGTAAAGTTTTGAGATAATAAAGTGGGAGTTACTGTCACGAACTTGTCCTTTGAGAATTTCATCTCCAATCACTAAGCACAACAATAAATCATATGTTTCAAAAGATTTTTACTATCAAGATTAATGTAAGAACAGAAAGTGAATTTGTAATTTATTTGCAAAAATTACTCACCTATAATACCAGCTGTTGGGACTGTTTTAGAAGCAGATGAGAAACAAGACATCGTCTGCTTCAGCCAAGTACTAGGCCAAGTAGGAAACCCACATTTACACGAAACAAAAGAAGTGCTTTCTTTTAGAAGGCATCGAATCATAATATGTAAAGCAAAATTGTTTTTTTAGATTAAGTGTGTAGTTTTCAATGCGACTTCTTTCCAATGCAAAATGAGTTGCACTTCTTTCTACCACAACAACGCAAGGGTTATGTTTACAGTTCAAAACAAAAACAGTTGAAGTACGAGAAAAATAGAAAAAGAAAAAGAGTAAGATACTCAGCAAAGAAAACGAAAACAACAATTCCGGTGTCTTCATTCGTTGAGGTTGAAATGCTGTTCGAAATTTAATTCTCCGTTAACCTTGTCAACCATGCCTTTGTGTAGATTTTTCCAGCAGGGCTACTGCAGATTCGGAAATAATTGTAGATTTGAACATTCTGCGCCTCAATATACAAGTAAGTGACTGACTTACTATCTTAACCTCAATTTTTATTTATTGATAGAACACAACAAACCAACACTTCTGGGGTTTTGTCAATGAGTGCATCTTTGTTTCTTTCAACTCCATTCCTCTTTACATAGAGGACTTTAATATTAACCTGAATTACTTTCAATTTTTAAAGATGAATGGAGTTCACTTGTCTCCTGTGTCATAGCTAAATAAAAATCATGAATTCATCTCCTTATTCTATTGATTAATATCTCGCTTGTTGTTATATTTTCAGATACAGTCAGTCCTCTTCTAAGGCAAAACACACAACCACCACCCAATGTCACAGCTCCTAAAAGTAATCAGGGGAATAATGCATTTCGTACTAACCGAAAGGATGCGAGAGATATTTTGTAAGTGGTGTAGTGTACATCTTCTTGTGAGAAATTAATGTTTCATCTGTTAGACAAGTTATTTTTATTGATATATGTCCATTACTTAATCCTATGCATTGAGTATGTATTATAAATTCATAATTTGTTCCATAACAGTAATCTTATTGTGCAAGACGTCAATGAAGCTGAAAAAGGAGGAGTATGGCCACTGTCGTCCTATAACTTTTGGCCGGCAGTAGCTCATGGTAATGTTCCTGGTTTGGAAGACCTCTCCCCAGAAGAAATGAGACATCTCCAAATGCAGGCTCAAGCAGCAGGTACATTGGATGCTTGTGTAAGTTGTTCCCATTACTTCTAACTTTTCCAATTTGTAAGCCATTAAATTTTACTAATTTTTCTTCTTCTTTTGTAATTATTAAAAGAACCAGCAAATACAACAAATGTATCAGCAAGCAAGGGCCCGCTTTAACACTATGAAGGTTCAAAGTCCAGAGACACTTGCTGTTATTGTAAGTGTTACTAATGTTGTAGTAACATTATTATATTTTAATTTTATGTACCTTTGTCTACCTTTAGATGTTATAAATTTTTTCAGGAATCAATGACCCGCGGTCCTGCTCAAACTCCTGCTTCTTCTCAGTATTCCTTTGCCAGTGGAAGTAGTGTCGTTCAGGATTCTTGGCCAGCGCCATCAGCCACAAGTGGTGTAGCTTCTGTATTTGGAGGATCAACTTCCGGAACAACTGCAAAGTCCATCTTTGGGGGTTCAACAGGATCAACAAATGCAGGCTTTGGTTCTGTGTTTGGTGGAGCAAACAATCAAAGTTCTTTATTTGTTGGGACCTCTCAATTTGGAAATGCATCATCTCCAAAGCCATCAATTTTTGGTGGAGGTGCCACCCAGACTCAACCACCAGCATTTGCTTCCTCCCCAACTCAACCGCCAGCATTTGCTTCCTCTCCCACTCAACCACCAGCATTTGCTTCCACTAACCCCATGTTTGCGGGTGCTGCTCCTTCTCCGTTTGGTGGGGCTCAGCAGCATTCGTCTATCTTTGGTGGGGCATCAGCTGCACAGCAGCCATCACCATTTGGAGCAACTCCCACAGTTCAGCAACCTTCTCCATTTGGTGCTGCACCAGTTGTGGGCCAGAGCGGGGGAAGTATTTTTGGTGGATCTGCATCAGTACCTACACCTAACACATTTAGTTTTGCCTTACCAAATGCATTTGGTAGTTCTGGAGCAAGTGCTGCAACAACATCCCCTTTTGGCGGAGCAACAACCACAAGCCCCAATGTGTTTGGGGGTGCAGTTCAAAATATTTCTCAACCGACCGGTAGTATTTTTGGTGGTTCAGGCGCTACTCAAAGCCTAGCAAACCCACCTGTTCAAGATAGCAACATTAGTGTAAATGCAACACTCTATACTGCTATATCTCAACTGACAGAGGCAGAGAAGAGAGAATTTGACGCTGAAACATTTACTATTGGTAAAATCCCCTGTAGACCACCTCCAAAAGAGTTGTGTTAATTTTATACTATGTATTTTGTTTAAGAGTTTTGACTAGGCATAACTGTGATACATTATTCAAGATAAGTACATGTATTACTGGCTGAGATAAGGATAAATACTTTAGATTCATTAAATTGTAGATAGTTTTGAGACTTTGTGTAGTTTTATTTTTGGTTTACTTTTAATCCCACATTTACTTTGTTTTATATGTTCTATTTTTTGGTTAATTGAGAAATTTGACAAATTCATATGAGTTTACAGACATATGTACCTGCTTAAAAACTCAGTCTCACAAATTGATTGATTTGTACTATACTTTAATCCAAGTTTGAATACAGTTATAAAATATTTTTATGACATAAAATCTTCAACTTATTCTAGAACATGAATGAACATCTTCTATTGACAAGAAGAACAGGATAAAACTGAAACTAAATAGAGGAATCAATATTCTTAAAAGAAAGGCACAAAAGAGGGCAGTTAATAAATTACTTCATTGCTCCCATCAAAAAAAGCCAAAATATTTGGCATAATACTAATACAATTCTTCATCCATCAATAAAACACCATCAATAATAATCTACATTAACTAAGAATTGTCAACAAATTTAAGTAAGGTCATAAATACTTAACATCTAGATTTTTTCTGTAAATAACGTAAGCCACATCGATGGTAGAGTGAAGGAAAGAAAGATCGAGGTACCCTGTTTCTTTGCATATCACATGGCTTCTACACTTTGGCACTGCTTGGCACCAATTTATTTGTAACCCTATTCTCTCACAGCATGTCCTTTTCTTCCACAGGACTTCCCTTTCTCCATAGAACTTAGTTTGACCTAGATAGGATACCTATCCTATCTAGGTTTGACTGCGCCGCCGAGTCCGGCCAGCGTCAACCGACAAAGGCCCAAATTGTCCATCCTCAGAACATCATTTCTTCGTCGCTGAGGCGTGTTGTGGACCTCGTCCTCGTCGGCGGTGGTCACACGGACGTGGTGATCTGCTCGATGACCGTCACGTGCCTGCCCGGCGGCCGGTACAGTCCCTCCGGCACGGACCTGGTCGCCCTGAGCGGCATGGTGGGCGGCGGGAGGTCGCACACGAGCGGGTACTGGTGGCACGGCGAGGGCGCCCCGAACATGGCGTTCTGGTGGTGGCCGTGCGGGTGGAAGTGGTGCAGGTGGGCGCCCAGCGGCCCCACCCCCGGGCCGAGCCCGGTGGGCGCCAGCGGCGGGCCGCCCACCCCTAGCGGCAGCGGGCCCAGCCCACCCGCCAGCGGGGGGCAGACGCACGGGTCGCAGTCGCCCGTCACGTTGCTCGTGCCGGTGTCGGGCCACGCCGACAGGTGCACCAGGACGGCGCCCACCAGCGTGAAGGCCAGCGAGAAGTAGTAGCCGCAGCGTGGGTTGCTCTCGTTGATGTAGCCTGCGTCAGAGAGCGTGGTCAGTGTCGTGGGCACGGGGTAGTGAGCGTGAGCGCAAGAGAGACAGACAGCTGGGGACCGCCGCGCAGCTCTAGCGCGAGGCCGGCGCCGCACTCACCTGTGATGGCCACCCCCAGGAGCACGGGCACGGCCTGCGCGCCCTGCACGAAGGCCCACGTGCGCGAGAAGTAGCGCGCGCGCACCCGCTCCATGGTGAACATCTTGAGGGAGTAGAGCGTGCCGCCCAGGCTGGTGCCGTACAGCCACGTGACCAGCACGTAGCCGTGGTACCCCGAGACCCAGCCCAGCGCCAGCAGGGACAGCGCTGCAAACGCAAGAGACGGGCCGCGTTACTCCGCTGCACGGTGGGTGGCCTACCTACTCGGGCGGGCCCGGACCCGCGGTTCACTCACCTGCACCCAGCATGGAGGTCTGCACGAGGTTCTGCCGCGACACGAGGCACTGGTCGCTGCGCCTCGCCGTCACGGCCCCCGCCACGTAGCAGCCCAGGGCGGCGCCCAGCCCCAGGATGATCTGCAGCAGCCGCACGCCGGCCTCGGGGACGCCCTCCTTGGCCGCCTGGAAGCCCTGCAAGACGAAAGGCGAGAGAGGCTCAGTCAGTCATTGTGTCGGATGGCCTACATTATCTTGTTTGACGCCCTTCTCCGCGCTAACACACACACACACACACACACACACACACACACAAGCACACCCCTCCATCAATCACAGTGCCGTCTCTCTCGATAGTGGCGCGGTACGCGTCCATCCCTCTCAGTTCGGCTTTCCAAGGAAATAAAGAAGGCCATGCGAGAGAGATGAGGCGCGCTGCCGGGGCCGGGGGTAGCTCGGGGCCGAGAGAGATGAGATGTGTGACTGGAAGGGGCGGGTAGTGCGGCGGGGCGGGGCGGGGCCCCGGCGGACGTCATTATGACGTTTTTATTTCAAATCGATCCCAACACCAGCAGGGAGAGGCTATCAATCAAAGCTCCGCAGGATCCACACTGCGGAGCTCGGCTTCTGCGGCTTCTCTGCATGCGTCGAGTGAGTGAATGTGACGAGGGTCGCGGAGCACGCCGTCGACGACGACGTCATGTTCGCCGGGGGCGCGGCGGTGGCGGTACCCACCAGGTGGAAGGCCGGCGTGTAGAGGCCGGTGGCGGCGGCGGCCGACGCGCCCACGAGCAGCCTCACGGCCCGCGAGTGCAGCGGCGCCATGTCGATGAGGGGCGGCCGCGGCGGGCGCAGGGCCTTCTTGTGCTTGACTCGCTTGCGCTGCGCCTTGAGGTGCGAGATGGCGCGGCGCTGCGGGTGGTACAGCGACGCCGGCCGGTAGAGCACGCCGACGAAGAAGCCCGTCGCGACGAGGCCCGTGGCGGCCTGCAGGCCGAGGCGCCACCCCAGTCTCCTGCAAAGGTATCGGCGTTGTATCAAATTATTCCAATATTGTACTTCGGCGAACGGAGGAAGAAGAAGAGCGGGTGGGACATAAAGATTCCTGATTGGCTAGACCCTTACCCCCTCCACCGGCGTGGTTTATGTACCCGCTTTTCTTCTTCTCCACGAGCCGAAAAACACTTTTGCTTTGGTGGTTAAAAAACAAAACAACTTGATCTAAATTAATCCCCTAAAACCGGTTGAATTTTAAGTGAATCATCTTTTCGTTCCTCATCCCCCCCCCCTCTCTAATCTGTTGTTTTTCTCGTTCCTGGTGTTGTTGTTTTCCATCTTGTTGTTTGTGCGGCACGGCACGACACGGCTCCGCCCGCCCGCTGCAGTGTTTACCTAACCCCCAACCTCGCAGTGAGGAGGTGTTGGTGTTGCGGCTGCTGCAAATCGACATGTGTGTGTTCATTAACGCGTTTTTATTCGTACTTTTTTGGTGTCTTCCTAATCGCATCTAAAGCAGTGCTTGTTTAACCTCTGCCTGAACGGGTACGTAGAGTGTTGGGTTAGGTGGAACCTTTTCTTTCTAGGCGGACGTCTTCAGCAGTTGATGTTTGTGTATGTGTGAAGCTTTCTTCGCTACTTACCCCACAGTGTCCGTGTAGAAGGCCGTGAAGGTGGATATTCCGAGGCCGACCCCGGACAGCATGAGGCACTCTGCCGCCGCGCGCCGCTTCTTGAAGTACTGCCCCAGCATCAGCGAGGCGGCCTCCCGGACCATCGCGGCGCCGACCCCCAGCAGCACGCCGTAACTGCAACAGCGTCGCAATCAAGCAGGTGAGTGACAAGGGCTTAGGGGCATTCTTCATCTGACTGCTTTGAAACAAAATCTGAAAATCTGCCCAACTTGTGTGGTAACTTTTAAAGTAGGATGTCTGGCGTAACATGCTTTTCTCGCGCAATCTTTGTCGCTGACGCGCACCTGTCGTTTGTTAGACCGTCGACATCTCTTCCGACCAGCCTCCGCCTAAAACGAAAAATTGCTGACCTTCGCAACCACTGCAACCCCCGCCATGGCTATGCTATGCTATGCTCCTCACAGTCATTCGCACCAGATCTTGTGGAGTGGAGGGGGCTGGAGGTCTATTTTCTCCTTTACCGTCTCTGCGGCACTTTTCCCCTTATTCATTACTCCAGGCCGATGGGACCGCGCGTCGCGCAAGACAGTGGAAAGGGGGGTGGGTTTGGGTGGGTGACGATCCCGAGGGGTCGGCGACGACGGGGAGGTCCCCAGTGGAGCCCGGGCGGCGCGGCAACACGCAGGCTGAGCCTTGAGGGGAGCCGTGCCGTGACCATGGGGGTGAAGTGGGGTGAAGCGGGCTCGGGAGGACGAGCCTGTCTCGTCCGAACACCAATCACGTTCCAGCCTCATTAATTGAACGCCATTCGTTTTCAGCGGCACATTAATATTCTGCTCGGGGTTGCCCCCCCCCCTTTTCCACCTTTCACCCCCCGCTTCCGCCATGCCCCTTCGTCACACGGGAGGTCGACCTTATTTCTCCTCTGACCTGTCTCTAACTTTGTTCCTGCCCGTCTGAGTCTGTTTGCAGCTCCTCTCCCTCCTCTCTCCCCGTGTTCATGCCTTCCTCCCCCACTCGCTCCCTCTCCCCTTTCCCCCTCTCTTTTCCCTGGGGCAGTTAAGCGTGGCAAGGATGTTAGCCCTGCTTAGCCTACCGCTGTGCCTGTAGCTTTACTCTTCTCCAAACCCAGCTCCCGAAACAATATATAATAAAAACAATATAACAATAATTGAAAGTCGGGAAAATTCTCATCCGGCCTGACTCTCATAGTTAAGAGAGTAATCTGCCCTGAAAGTGTTGATGATTAATTTGCTTTGGTGCGGCGACTCTGTGCCTGCCAGCCTCACGCCGCTCAGCCCGCTCAGTACTTTTGTAGCGCTTGGGCAGCTTGGGACGAGAATTAGCCTCATTCAGACTCCACTCTGCTCCCGCTCGCCCGGCCCCGAGCACACCACTCCCGCTGAGGGATCACCCTGTCACCAGTTAGCTCACCCCCGGGGCGTCGGGGCGGGAATTGCAGTGACACCCACCGCCCAGCACTGACTGGGACTCGAGGGGTCGTCGCAGAGGTGGGTGTGGGTGCCTCTGGGGGGTAGCGACACGTAACCCGTCCCCCTGGCCGACCGCCTGCCCCTGTCCTGGGTGACGTTGACTGGCGCCATTTTGGGCTGCGAGTTTGAGTACTTGACTTACCCTCTTGGAAACTGAGCCGACTAGGGGGCTAATAGCAGGCACAAAAACAGGGCATCAAAGGCAGCAAGAAAAATATATTTCGTGGCGCTAAGGATTCTGGGTCGCGGGGGGGACGCGGGACGGGGAGCCTGTGGCCCTGTGGCCTCACTGTTATCGGAGCGCCCCCCGCCCCC